GCGTGGCAACTTCGTTAACCTACATCGCGGCTAGAAAACCAATTCGAGACGCGGTTGTCGCGACGTTTCGTTTTCACGCGGTAACTTTCTTGATTGCCAGCCTCGCGGTGTGGATACAAGAAATTCGCGAGTTTTCCGTGCTTTAAAAATGCCGAACGACCTGAAAGTGTCGCCCGTCCAAGGTGACGAACGGAGGAATTTTCAGACCGCTTTTATCTACGTACTCGATTTCCATAATGTTTGCGTTTTATAGATAAAACAAATTTCGTTACGACTCGCGGTTTATCGCTATTTCTTTCATGCATGATTCACCAAACGACACGAAACGTTGAGCGTTTATGCTCCAACAGAAAAATCAAATTCATGCAGAATTTAAGGAATTTTCTAAACCATATTAACCCCTTGAACGACAATTTATTTTCAGTCAGCACTTGAAAAAGAGGAAAGTTTATGACGAGCTGGACTCGTCATTTCCGTTCAAGGGGTTAAATCCTCTGTAATTATCATTTTTCCTAAAAGTTCATTGCCTCAAATATTGGACAGTTTTTTATTACACGTCTCAAACTTTTGGCAGAGATTTTACAGCTTATACGACCTTATCGTTTAAAAATTAGTTCGTTCCAAAGCAACGAACTCCTCAGTAAACGTTACGTAATTTCTGTAGTAAAAAAAGCTTCGGTTCCATTAAACCTTTCGCAATTTCTATTTATTATCATTTAGTACGGGAATCATAATCGAACCGTAAGTGCGGATACTCGGGACAATTATTATCGACTGGCTAAAGGGAAAAGACGATTTTTGCAAGCCGAATGTTGTCGAACCTCGACTGTTTGACGAACAAATTGTCACGGTTAACAAACTTCTCGGTTCGAGCATAGTTAATGAGAAACGCAAACGAACGAATGATAAAGCCGATCGTGCCAGGATGAATGACGCATCAGGGGGGAGGCATTGACGCACGCAATCAAATTAGCCGAAAATTTAAACAGATTTTTATCAGTTTACGCTACGAATCATCTCATTTTTAATCATCGCCCACGTTAAATTAATTTTTTTCTAATCGGTGATTATGCAAATCTAGACGGGACGTTCGACTAATTTAATTCACTGTTGCCTCTTTCGCGACACCAGATAAAGGAGCATTATTCTTCTTTAGACAAAGACCTTCCCACGTGATTTCATCAACGCACTTCGATCAACAGACGACATTGAGACTGTAATTATTAATTATTTATACAGAGCCTTGAATGAAACTGACCGTCCCGTTTAATTCGTACGATGTACCAAGATCCCATCCGCATGAGAAGCAGCGTTCTATTGACGCAAAACGCGTTTCCATTCATTTTATTCCATCTGCACACGTCAATCCTGCCTGATTCCGAATTCATAAGTCCGACCTCTCGCAATCGGAAATCTCCAACAGATAAAATATCGCACGCTGCTCATCTTCCATTTTAATACGTGTTCTAATCTTAGATTTTTCTCCTTCGTCCTGCTATCCCCATACATAAAATCGTCGCGCCGAAATTTAAGGTCGTATAGGCTGTATTGCGTCGAATCCTGAAAAATTGTAGCAAGCAATTGGGACTTGGTAAGTTGGAATCATGGATGATGACTTCTAATGATAGGTACGGAAAAATACGGAGATTGATCGGTCGTTTCAGCACGCTCGTCGGTCCCGGACGATGGGTATCATGTTTGTTTAAAGTTTGATCAAATACCTTCCAGCCAGCCTTCCAGAAGACGAGTGTTTTCTCAATAATAATAATAAACGAGAGGAAGGAAGACGGCAAGGTCCGCGTTAAACGATAAACACGATTTCGCGAGTCCTTGTTTGCTCGTCGCCGTCAAATATTGACGTTAGACACCGCTACGGAAGGAATATGACTCGACTCGATGCAAGTTCATTATTCTACTCGTGAATAAATATAGAATCGGTCATACATACATACCCGATCGATCCTTCTATTTTTAGTTGACGTAAACGAAGACGTTTGATACCGACGATATATTTCTCATTTCTATTAAGGTTGCATAAGTCGCACAATCTCTGCCAAAAGTTTAAGACATGTAATAAAGGATTTTCATTCCAGAGGAGTAGAATTTATCAAATTATTCGACCTGTTTTTCTTGGGCATGAGAAATTTTTAAGCATGATTTATTAATGTAATGTATAGTAACTGTTTAAGTTTTAATGGTTTGTCAATGTTTTATGGGTTCATACAATCTTAAAGGATTGTTTTGCAAACGCCTGGGTCGATGTGCACGTACTGGATACATAATGTATCCACGGTTAAATAAAATCCTTCGAGCCTGTATAGAATGATGTTCTAACACGCTTCTCACAATCAGTTATTATGAATCATCGCCCGTTCACGACAGTCGTTGCGATTGCAAAACTTGTCGAACTTCTAATTGAATTGCAGAATAAATCGCGTACTTTTTATCGCCGATCGTGGATGCGTAGAAAGTAATTATTTCCAGCCGTGCTTGCCACCGAGTCATTGATTGCGCGTTACGTAATCAATGAGAATACGCGAAACGGGAAAAGGAGGCGTAAGCGAGACAAACGAATGTTGCCCGGTGAATCGAAAAATAAAATCTTAACTTATGTAATATTTCGCTCGGATCCACGAGTGATTTTTTTTAAGGATGTATTGGCTATACGGTCAATCCGAAAAACAATAATGTTATTTCGCGATTCTTGACCAAACATGATCGAAAGCATTGATCAAATTATTTTATTAAGTAAAACTACCGAACCGGAAACCGAAAACATAACATTAAGTGAACGGCATGCTGTTGAAATCAATATCTTCTGTTCCGAAACTAATTT